CCCCTCACCGATTTCGCTGCCGTTGCCGTCGGCTGGCAGGGCCCAGAGGATGATCTCGCTGCAGGACGCCACGGCCACCATCTTGTCCTGCTCGCCCAGCGACCCGCCCAGCACCTTGGCATTCAGGGCCACCCGCTCGATCACCCAGTCCAGCCGCGGGCTGCAGAACCCCTGCTGCCAGCCCGACGTCTCCTTCATCCTGGGGCCAGAGCAGGCGTCAGGCCGGGGCTCCCCACGGCAGGCAGGGCTGGGCCCAGCAGTACGGGAGGGATGGGGGGCTCCCTCCCGGCAGGCAGGGCTGGGCCCAGCAGTGCAGGGTGGTGGTGGGGGAGGGGGGAGCTCACCCCCCGGCAGGCAGGGCTGGGCCCAGCAGTGCGGGGGTGATGGGGGTGGGGATGGGGGGGGCTCCCCCCGGCAGGCAGGGCTGGGCCCAGCAGTGCCAGGGGGTGGGGGAGCTCCCCTCTGGCAGGCAGGGCTGGGCCCAGCAGTGCGGGGGGGATGGGGGTGCTCCCCCCTAGCAGGCAGGGCTGGAGTGGGGGCTCGGGGGTCTGTTCTCAGAGGGACCCGTGGCCGGGGAGGCAGGAGACCTGGGCCGTTACCTGTAGCAAACGAGGAACTGGGCGTACGCCACGGCGATCCAGTTGTGGTGCCCACAGACGATTCGGACCATGCCGGGGTCACTGGCCGGTCCTGGGGCGGGAGGGCAGAGCCCAGCACAAACGAGGAACTGAGTATGGCTCAGACGCACACAGCAGATCAGTGACACAGCCAGGAGAGAACCCAGGCGTCCTGGCTCCCAGCTCCCCCCTGCTCTAACCACCAGACCCCACTCCCCTCCCAGAGCTGGGGAGAGAACCCAGGAGTCCTGGCTCCCAGCCCCCCCTGCTCTAACCACCAGACCCCACTCCCCTCCCAGAGCCGGGGAGAGAACCCAGGAGTCCTGGCTCCCAGCCTCCCCTGCTCTAACACTAGACCCCATGGCCCCCCCAGAGCCAGCAGTTGGAGAATGACGAGCTCCCCCCGCCCCGGCCCCCGCCCCGAGGGCCCCGCGTACCTGCCCCGAGGCCCCGCTCCTCCAGCAGGCGGCCCAGCAGCCCGGCCTGGCCCAGCGTGGGGGGCAGGGTGTTACTGCGGCGAACTGGGGCCCTCTCGGCGGCGCTGTGGAGCCGGGCGGCCACCTGCGGCCCTGCCACGCTGTGCCGGTTACGCCGCTTGGCGGGGAACACTGCAAGAGGGGGGGCGATTGGACCACCTGGGGGACGGGGCCCTGAGAGCCGAGCCCCCCCCCGCCCCATCTGTCTCTGCCCACACCCAACCCCTCCCCCGCCCAGCCCCGCCCCGCCCCCGCTCAGCCCCCCCGTTCAGCCCCCCCGCCCACACCCAGCCCCCCCCGCCCAGTCAGTCTCCGCTCCCGCCCCCCCATGGCAGCCAGCCCCCCGCCCCCGTCACTCGGCCTGGGGCGCAGCACCCACCTGGCGGGGGCAAGTAGCCGTTGAAGAGGACGCTCCCGCAGGCCGAGCGCTCCAGCTCCTCACGCAGCTGCAGGCGACGCACTGGGCAGGAGAGGGTGGGGTGA